CACCTGTGGCACGGCAAACTCACAGCTTTATAACGTTCCCGCTGTTATCGCAGAAAACGCCCGTGATGTTACAGCTGCTGAAATCCGTCCAGCCGGTGAAGTTCCAAGTCCGCTGACACACCTTGAGCACTTCCACTGGAAGGGACGAGATGGAAACAATGCCACTCACAGAACGATGAGGCATGGAAGAGCAGCAGCAGCAGCAGCACTCGTTCATGCCGGAGAATACGCGGCTGTTCACGCGGAATGCAATGTGCCTCTCGTAGCTGACGGCTAATCATATCTTTGACGGAAACAAAACACGGAAGGAGGCTAGTGCGGAGAGCCACAGCGACATAGCAGAACGCGCCGCCGCACCGAGCGCGTCGAATGGGTGGCGACGGCTTGCACGCGCAATGACGGCTCGGCTCTAACGCCATGGCGGCACGCCTCGCTTCCCTTCACCGTGCTTCACGTCAAAGGCTCTTCTCAGCACCAGATCCCATCGGCCAACGCCGCGGGTAGGGAATGCGAGTGGCATTGCACTGTCGCCACCAGCTTCGCGCGGCCGTGCAGCGACACGCAGCAGGTAGTCGCGACGCACGTCGCCCTAATGCATCCAGGCGTAACTTACCCTGTGCCGGCGCAATAGGCTGTGCGTATCCGGATCCTGCGAGGCTCGTCGCGACGATCACAAGCAGCAATGCGGCCGGCAACTGCATTCTTGAAGTAACCGAAAGGGAAAAAGGGCGCGCCATGCTGTTCGGGAAAATGCTGGCGAATCTGGAATCTGGATTCTTAGCAATGACGTTCCGGAAACATACAGTACAATGAATCAAGGGATGGAAGAAGCCAAGACGGCTTGTGTGAAGATAAGGTGCGGCACCAATAATTGCACGGAATCCAGTACGCTGCTGCTCGAATTCTTGTGGTGTTGTTGAAACACTCGACTGCAGCGCAGGGTACATACTTGTGCAAAGTTGCCTGGCACCGACTTTGTTCCAACTTCCCCAAGCAGCACAGCGCCAAGGCGGTGGCGGTGCGGTCTCGAGGTGTGTGGTGTGGTGGTGGTGAGAACCCCAGGGGTGTGAGCGCGAGGTGCCTGGTGGCGGAGGCGCAGGACTTCTGAGACTCGGCGCAGTGTTGATGGGTGAAACACTGAGGGCCCCAGATTTCCGTGCTGTGCACGCCAGGAGAGGAGAGGTTTGACCTCGCTGATCAAGGGATTTTGGCTGTGACTAAAATTTGGGTTGGGGATTAGAACTAATGATTTAGCGGATTGGAAAACACTACATGTGAAAGAATGAGCACCTTCCTACCATCTAAGCAACAACTAAGAGAACAAACCTAAAGCTTTCAAATACCAATACACATGACATGATGTTATAAATAAGCTGAAAGAAGTGATACCGTACCTAATCTTGAATGGGGCGATCTGCAAGACAATGCTTCAACACAACGTTAGATGTTGCTCTTTGTTCACGAGAAAGGAAAACTTGAAGAAGCCCAACTCACCTATGTCAAAGTATGCTTGACGATTTGAACCCACAGGGCCAGTCCCAAGGGCGTCATTTCTTAGAAGATCTAATGTGATTGGAGGGAGGGGAAACAGCGATCAAGGTGGTCAAACCACGATATCAAACTGGCAAGGCATTATTGTAAGTGAGGTGAATGCTCCGAAGACCACTGGCACGGGCTGCTTCCTAGTTGAGCTTACACAGCAGCATCAAAAGGATAAACGGCACATGAAAATATGCAGGTTGAGGGGCGGAGATTACCTTGCTGGTCATGCGAGTCGGGCTTGTGGGTGATGACAATGTATGCGAGGCCAGCAGCAGTGATGAGCACAATGAGCAGCCCGATCACAATGGCCGCTATGGCGCCCCCTGACAGGCCCCCGCTGCTGCTGCTGACTGCAGTGGTGGTGACGAGTTGAGGCCGGTTGATGGGGCGACCCATGGGGGGAAGAGGCGGTGCGGCAGGTGAAGGGGGTGGTGATGGTTTGTCTGGGAAGTAGGGAGGCTGGGAGCCTGGAGGAGCTGGGGGCGCACCTGTTTCGACAAGCGAGGAGGTGGATACATACACGGGGATCATGCGCTTAGATAAGGAGAGCGAAGAATAAGAGTGTACACGTGCAAACGCCAAGCTGCGGAAATATTCTGCAGAAATAAAAAGAGCGATGTGAAATATTTGCAGGACAGACCGGATTGAATGCAGTGGCGGCAGTAGTTAGGGCACTGGTAGCAGAAGGCCGAGAGCAGTGTCTGAGGCACGTCACATGCGGCGTCAGTGGAGGGGCAGATGAGCGAGGTGTTCGTCACATCACTGCCGTGGCGGGGTAGAGAGCGAGCGAAAGAGGCTGTCATTAGCTTAGTTGCACCTATGTGTGAACCGCACACGCACGTGGGTGGAATGGTCATAGGCAGTGAGCAGAGCGGGATTGATTGAAGCGGGTTGACGCGGGTAGGTTGGTGAGGGACAGCGGTGACTGACAGCAAGGTGAGGGCGGTGAGGGCGCCCAGGCCTGGAGGCAGCACGCCAGTGAGGCCACGGTTGTCAACGAGGTTGCTGCCACGGACACACGCACGTGCACACACGAATGCTGTCAAGCGAGACAGAAAGATGAGGCGGAAAGAGGGCACGTGGGCGAGAGGGAGAAACAGATGAGAAATAGGATTGTGGAAGAGTGGTGCGGTTTAGTGTGCAGTATGCGATGGAAGGGCGGCATACATGTGCTGAAGGGCGGTCAGTGTAGTGATGGCCTCTGGCAGCACACCGCTGAAGCTGTTGGCGCTCAGGTCACTGGGGAGACAGGGAGAGAGGGAGTGGGGGTGAAGGAGAGAGACGGAGAGAGCATGCAGCAAGAGGAGATGGTCAGACGGGGTAGAGCAAAGCTGGAACAGCACCAGGTAGTGCAGTATGAGCGAGGGTTAGGTGGCTGCAGTGCAGTGGTGAGCACAGGTGCGGGCAGGCAAGTTGGTGTGTAAATGGGAAAGCAAGGTAAGGGAGCTTCATTCATTGCACATGTGGTGGCTGACATGGAAGAGAGTTTGCGCAGCTGAGTGATGGAGCGAGGCAGAGTGCCGTTGAGATGGTTGAAGCTGACATCGCTGTGGGGATGGGTGGTGGTGTGCCGGGGTGCAGGGATGGAGACATCAATAGGTGCGTCACTGCACGTGCACCACCACCACAAAACATGTGCCTGGTGCTCCCACGTGGTACAGAAAATGAAGGTAAAGAGTCTGAGGCATGTTGATATGAGAAACGTATACAGTGGAGTGGTGTGGTCAGGAGGTCGAGAGAGAGTGGGATCTGACGGCACGCAAGGCTCACAGGAGCTGAAGGTTGGTCAAGTTGCCGATACTCTCCGGCAAGGGTCCCGTGAGCGGATTGGATCCTGTGTTGCTGACGTGGCAGCACGCCATGCATTGGGTGCAGGAGCGAACGGGGAGGGGAACGTGGGAGAGCAGGTTTAGGGAGAGGGAGAGAGACATTTGAGAAGGTGATGAAGGTGCGGAAGGAATGGCCTTGAGGGGAGAAAACAATGTCTCTGCATGTGTGCTACAGCCTACAGGCATGAAGTGCTCTGGTGCAGGGCACAAGAGCATGTGGGTGTGGTGGGTGGTGCATACAGGAGAGTGAGCAGCGAGAGATCCCCAATGGCTTTAGGAATGGAGCCGTCGAGGTTGTTGTACTCTAGAGACCTGCCATGGGTTGTGCACGAGGGGACCAGGGCTTCAAAGCAGCGGTGGGTGGGTGGCAGCGAGTGGAGGGGGCAAGTGATGTGTGCATAGGATGTATATGCTCAATGGAATGAGGTGACTAGTGGGTGCGAGTGCTGCCAAGATGCCCCATGCATGCCCACGCTGTCAATCCCTGGTCTGGCGGTTGTTGCTTCTACTGTGCATAGAACGCCTTCTGCACATGGTGGCGGATGTTCCTTCCCCTGCCACCAACGTTCATGTGTGAGTGCACATGGCAAGAAGAAACAGCGAGTCCTTCCTGACCAGAGCCAGACATGCGTGCAGACTGGGCGCAGCAACGAGTGCGAGCAGCAGGAAATGGCATACAGGTGTGAGAGCATGTGGAGTGCGGTGATGGAGCTTGGGATGGGGCCCTGCAGCTTGTTGGAGCCCACAGCGCTGCATGCATGGAGGCCAAGGGGCGGAGGGAACGAGAGTCATTAAACGGGGCTTGGGAAGGGTCGTCTGGCTCAATAACAGAAAACCAAAAGGTGTTCACTGTGCTGATAAAGAGCTCACAGCATTGCGAGAGAGGTCATGTTGGCCATGTCAAAGAGGGTCCCTGCTATTTCGTTGATCGATAAGTCCCTGCGGACGAGAGGACGACAGAGAGGGGGATGTGGTACACGTGTGAGTGGGTGGCAGGCAGGAGATATGAGAGGGAGTGAGGAGCGAGGGACAGGAAGGAGACAAAGAAGGAGATTAACAGAGCACAAGAGCGCACAAGAAAGTGGTGAGTGTGTGCAGAACTGACAGGTTGACGAGGTTGGAAAGGGATGCGAGGGTGGAAGGCAGAGGCCCGGTGAGCTTGTTCTGACTTATGTTGCTGCATGCACACACACGCACACACGCACACACACGCATACACACGCCCTTGAAGCAGTAGGATGAGAGTGCAGGACCTTGAGTGAACATGCAGGATGACAGCCTGATCCAAACGACGGACGCATGTGGAGGAGCGCAGGAGTAAATGGTGGTAAGAGGGATGTGGGTGCAAAAGCACACCGTGCAAGCTGGCAGTTTATGCATGTGCCTGCCGCTGGTTCATACTCAGCAACACAGGAACACGAGGGAATAAGGAGGAAGCGACGGAGAGGCAGAGGTTGTGTGGGCGTGTGCACGAACAGGTGAGTGAGAGAGGAGGCGACTGCAGCGAGGGAGGCAGGAATGGAGCCGTTGATTCCGTTCCATGCCAAGTCGCTGCGGACGAGGCAGGCAGGCAGGTGGCATGGCGGGAGAAAGGAGGGAAAGTGGAGATAGGGTGACTGGTGACGTACATCATACATGGCAGCAAAAGAAGCAGGGGGGTTGCAAGGAGCACAGGGAGGAGAAGGGCGGTGGAAGTGACAGGTTGGCTGGCAGGTGCAGGAGGCAAGACGGAGTGGGGTGTGAGGGCACTGACAGCTGCTCGAGATTGGTGAGTTGACTGAAGGTGCTGGGGATGGTGCCTTGCAGTGAGTTCCCGCTGAGTACACTGGCAGGGTGGGGCGGGTAGGAAAGAGGAAGGGGGACGGCATGGCATGAGCATGGTTGGGGTGAGGGAGCAGTACAATGCAAGCGATGGTGCAATGGTGCGATAGTGGGTATGGCGGTGGATTTATGGCCGCACATGCGCAGAGGCAAGGTGTGTGTGCGAGCAGCAGGAGGTGTGTACAGTCGCTCAAGGGTGCTGATGCTGCCCAGAGAGTCAGGAATGCTGCCATTCAGCTGCCTGTTGTTGCCCACCGCTCTGCACGTCACCACACCACACAGCACACAGAATGCAGCACAGAACTCAATTTTACCCGTAGCATCCATCACAGGGTGCACACGAGAGTCGTATTGCACAGGGATCCGGAGGCAGCGCACACGTTTCCAAGCGAGCTGTGCAGCTTGTGTGGGGACGGATGCAGAGGTGCAGTGGGGTGGGCACTCACAGGTCGACCAGCGCGGAGAGTCCTCCCAGAGTGGAGGGCAGGGAGGACGACAGAGAGTTGCTCTGCAGGTAGCTGCAAGGCAGAAGCAGGGGAGTGAGAGGCAAGGCAACAGCAGAGCAGACATGCCAGTCAGGTGCAGTGGGTGTGATGCCATGTGACATGGATGGGGAAGTTATTGTGAAACGGGGGGACAACCACAAGAGGGTGCGGTGTGGCTGAATGCAGAGGTGGAGGAGGGAGCGGTTGTGTGGAGTGGTGCTTGGGGGATGCGTGAGAGGTGGAAGGAGGGTGGGTGTGAGTGGTTGCCTCACAGGTGCTTGAGAGACGTCATTGAGCCTAGGGCAGCTGGTATGGTCCCGTTCAGCTTGTTGCTCGATAGATTGCTGCGGTGAGAAGCAAGAGAGGATGGGAAATGAGAGGGGTGGAGAAGCGGGAAGTGAAGGAGACGGCGGCAGCATGAATCAAGGCATGCGCGCAGCATATCGCAGCCACATGGCTGATGCAGTGATGCCCCTCCCTGATTGTCAAGTGCGACTCACAGCACAGTGAGGTTAGCCATGCGCCCCATGGAGTCGGGAATGGGCCCTTCCAGATCGTTGCTGCTCAGGTCCCTGCCACAGCATAGCAGTAGTGGTAGCGGCCATGGGACAGGGGAGGAGGTGGGAGAGAGGAGTAAAGTGCGAGGCCTGACTCGCTGACAGCTGCAAAGGCGAGACAGAAAGAGAGAGAAGATAGCATGGAAAATAACGGAAGAGCCTTCAGTTGGGAGCAAGGGAGGGCGGGCGCACAGCTCTTGCAGGTTAGTGAGGGCTGATAAGGAGGCCAGGATGCTGCCAGTGATGTTGTTGCTGCTCAGGTCGCTGGTGCATGCAGATTCACACACACACGGGCGCACGGGCATGGCCATGCACATGCATGAGAAGCTTCAAAGCGGGCGAGAACAACGGGGGAAGTGGCCTCGGCAAGATAAAGAGGGCAATGGAATCGAAGGTAGACGAGAAAAGGACGTGGTTGGGTGGAGGTGGGGCTGCTTGGGGTACATGGTAAGGGCTGCGAGTGCGGTGAAGGTGGTGGGAATGGACCCAGACAGCTGGTTACTGCCCAGCACACTGCACACAGCAGAGGGAAGGGGGTGTGGGGTGGGGGGGGGGTGAAGAGGAGGGCCGTGTTGGCACAATGGGAGAGGCGCACGCACGAGGACACAAGGGGCGCTGCATGCTGCAGGTAGAGACTGAAGGCAGAATAGAACTCTGGGCACAATGCTGCTGGGAGCATTCCATAGGCGCGTTAAGCTAAGCACAATTCTCATTCCTTCCTGCGGACTCGGACGCCAGCCAGCGTATGCACGAGTACATGCACGCACGTGTGTGCGGTGGCACAGGCACTCACAGACTGGTGAGCACTGCGAGTTTGCCGAGCTGTGGCGGCACAGGGCCGGAGAGATTGTTGCTGTACAGGTTGCTGCCAGTGGGGACAGCAGGTTGTGGGCATGGATGGAACAAGCAGATAGGTGGGGTTAGGAGGAGGAAGAACAGGAGGAGCAGGCGATGAGTGGGCGGACATGGTGCATGCATATTCTTCCTGTATCCGGTAAGGCTGATGATGATGACATGACACTGCCTTAACTCCGTGAGCGAGCAGCATGGAAAAGGCTCGTACGAGCATGAGTGATATGTATGCAGCGCACTCACAGGTCCATTAGCAACGGCAACATACTGAGCTGCCACGGAATGGCGCCCGACAGGCTGTTGTCGCCCAAGGACCTGAATCACGGGCACGCAGGGGAGGGTGTGGACGAGGAGGAAGAGAATGGGGAGGTCAGAGGACAGGAGGCGAGCAGAGAAGGTGGTTAGAGGGGATGGTGGTGTGTGAGCTGGAAGGTGCTGATCTATGAGGAAAGGGGGCGAGCTTGGAGTTACAACAACAACAACGAGGGGCTGTTCAATATGGTGCATGGCATGATGCGAGCAAGTGGGACGAATGAGTTGCGAGCGGCAGTTGGAGTTCGAGGGGCGTTACAGTTTGGTGAGCGCGGTGAGGGTTGTTATGTCGGGCGGAATGGGGCCCGTGAGGTTACTCATGCTCAGATCGCTGTCACACAGCACAGGGGAGAGAGGGCAGAGACAGGGCGAGAGGAGAGGGGGGCGGAGGAGACAGGTGAGTGGTGCTGCAACTCACGTCACGTTCCGTCACGCGCGGCACCGCCACTGCCCATTCCAGCACCGCATTCCCCGCTGTTGGGCAACATTCTTGTGCAAGCCATCTCAGCAGCACCGTGGTGCGGTGCCGCTGCCTGTCTGCTGCCCCTTTGCGCCCTTCATTGCCTGCTCCCTCGCTCTCCTCTTTGGCCGCGCTCCGTCTCTTTCCCTCCCAACGTCTCTACCCCCATTGTGCTCCCGCATTCACCGCTCGTACGCCCCTTTCTCTCCGTCTCCCGCCCACCCCCCCGGTTCCCCCCCCGGTGCCTGGGACCGTGCGCACATGGCGGAGATCATGCCGCTTGGATCGCACGTCAGCCCTTGCGCCATGGTGCAGTCAGCGCCCGCGCGCCATCCCCGCAGCCGCATCCCCCACGCCTCTTCGCACGCCTGCAGGGCGGGGGCTGCGCGTACGGGGAGCGGTGGGGTAAGGGGGAACGCATGCGCGAAGGAGACCCGCGGAGGGAGGGGAGAAGAGCTGCAGGTTGAGCGGGTGAGGCAACCAGACGCGGCACCGCACACGATCATGAAAATTAAGCAGCTGGCATGAGCGATGTGGGGCATGCAGATTCCGGGAAGACAATCTTGCTTTGACCGAGGTATCGCAGTTTTGGTGTGAGCGCACATTGTCAGGGATGGGAAGCAACGAGGGTCAGCGCAAGGAGGCGGAAGGACTTGCGGACCGTGTCAGACTGCGAATCGAGGGCATGAAACGAATACTGAGTGCCACTTAAATGGCGCTTACACGAAAATCGGTGCTTCACTGCACTGCATTGGCTGATTTGCCTCTTAAAGGGTGCCGCTGCTTACCCTGTGAGGCGGCTATCGGTAATCGCGCGCTAGCGACGTCGATGCGAACCAATGAGAGGAGCAGCGCGAATGCGAACGGTACGGAGCGAAGGGAGACCCCATAGTGCAGTACCTTGCGCGGCATTTCCGTAAGGAGCAGCGCGAAGCACGCGAGGTTATCTGGCGAGTGCGGGAGGCTAGTTCATGGAGGTTATCTGCGCAGCTGCATTTTTCTCAGTGGGAGTATTCAGGGCGGGTCAAAAGAGTACGTCCGATTGCGGTTCAAAAAGGTTAAGGCTTGATTTAGAGCGTTCTGTTTGAAACACAAGATGGTTGGGTAGGGTTTCCTGCGAATACGTGCAAAGTTTGACCCGCCCTCAGGATGGAAGGTTTGTGTGGTGGTGGTCTTGATGGACTCAACTGCAACACGGCACGGCACCCATGCCGAAGTCGGCTCACTCCCCTCCAACATTGTAACCTCAAATCTTTCGCAAATCGCAACAGCATGTGCAGGCTTCGCACCTGATCGTCCGTAACCCATCTTCGCGAGTCATTGTACCAACATCTACTGGACTGGCTGGGCTGGAGCTCTGTGGGGCATGCCATGCCACACACATCTTCCCTCGAAATCATCCTTCACTGTCCTGTCATGCAACCAGGCCGCTCTTCCTGCGTGGTCCCGCATTCAGCTGCTTGATTTGAGGCCACCCTCTCACAGGCACGGGGAAACCACCAGGGTTGCTGCGTTTTTCCGGGCCTCCGCTGAACCTTAACCTCGTCGCGTCGCTGCATGCGATTCTGTCCACGGATTCCCTTGCGACTCTTTGCTTCTCGGCGACGTCGCGTCACTCGAAGCAGATGGGCTCGGCGGCTTTCCACGCGGCGACCATGGATGGTTGCGAACCTCGGTAGGCAGCCTCGGGCGTAGCCATGGCAACATGGCTTCCCGAACCAACACCAAACCAAGATCCACTTTTCCTCGAGACCTCACCGCGAGCACGCTCCTCTTCCCACTACACCACCACCACCACTTCCTTTGGACCTCAGGCGCGCTCGTATTCGCACGAAGAGTCGCAACCTCAGTCGCGAGAACAGTTCTATCGCCTTTCTAACCAGCCGCGCGGTCGGCCGACTTCCCGTCCGCGATCCCGGTCGCCGTCCAAGTCAGGCCGCAAGGGTGGCAGCTCCAGTGCTAGCGCCGGTCCTAGCGGCAGCGCCGTTTCTTCCGGTCCCGCTGCCGCATCCGAGTGGCGCGATCTCGGAAAAGCAGGTGGTGCGAGTGACAGGGAGCGAGACGCGGGCGACGGCGGCTGCGGTGGAGGCGGAGAGTTAGCGAGAGGAAGGCCCGGCGCGAGTGAAGCACTTGCGCGAAGAGGCGGAGGGCTGCTAGGGGGCGAGGGGCGAGAGCGCGCGGCGGGGAGAGAAGCAGGTGGAGGGCAGGGTAGCGGGAGCCGCGGGAGCTACAGGGTCGAGTCGGCGCGCGATTACGAGGCGGACTGCGAGGTGGTGGTGGAGTGGCGGCGGGGCGAGCGGTGTAGGGAGAGCGTGGCTGTTGGTGTGAGCAGCATGCGCAAGCAGGCAGGACCGGCGGTTGACGTGGCGCAGCACGGCGCAGGGTCGATGAGGCGATCGTCGGATGGCACCATGGCGGATCTTGAAAGCAGATCGCCCATTCGGACACCGCGACTCAAGGGGGTACGAGCGCTGTTGTTGCTTGTGATTGCTAATCAACGGTGGTGGGAGGGGAGGGAGGGGGCGTTTTGTGAATCAGTATACTTGGCTGCTAGTGTGAATCGTTGGGTATGACTCGCTGTGGTGTTTTCAGAGCGCAAATCCAAAAACTTGTGTGCTGCGCCATGGTGCATGCATGTGCGTGTCCGCTTGCTGTGGTGGATTGCAGACGATGAGTGACGCAACGCATCAAGCCAAGCCTCGCACTGGATCGGCATCCGGCCCACTGCCAGCCCACAAGGGAGGGATTACCAGGTGAGCCTATTGCTTCACAATCCCACACGAGCTGACGCTTCGCTGCTCATATGAGGTGGTGGGGGAGAAGATGGAGGAAGAGGAGTTGGATGAGGTGGGCGAGTTAGAATACTCCGATTGAGAGAGCCGCTTCCTTACTCTAGAGCCCTCTCAATCGGAGTCATTTAACTCGTTCACCTCATCCAACTCCTCTTCCTCCACCTTCTCCCCCACCCCATGGATCATATGCATCGTTGCCTCATTGTGATGTGTATCACTGTGTAACTAGGAACTGAGGCACTGCGTGTGTGTGCGTGCGCGCGTGCGTGCGTGCGTACGTGCGTGTGTATGTGTCTTTGATGCGTGCAGAGGGCGGTTTCAAGTGATAGAGGGCGACCAGTCGGACAGTGAGTCGGATATGTCGCCGTGGCCGTCCGCCACCACCCCCTCAGGCAAGGCGGAAACTCCTCAGGGCACCCCAACAGCAGTGCCTGCCGGATCCTCAGGTCCCTTGCTTGGCCCATCGCCCTTCACTGCTGCTGCAGCAACAGCCGCTTCTGCCGCCGCTCATGCAGCAGCGGCAGCGGCGGCGGCAGCAGGTGCAAGTGGTTCAGGGGGGGGGGCAGCAGCAGCAGGGAAGGGGGCCACGCCATCAGCAGTGCGGCGCATCTCCACAGCAGGCAGCGCGTCTTCCTCCTCTAGCCCCTACTACTCGCCTGCCTCGCGCTCCCCCACCGCCCCTCCCCACACTGCTGCTGACCTGCGCAACGGCCCGCTGCCTGGCTTTGCAGGCCCGTTGCGCTTTGAGGGCGGCAGTGGCGGGGGCAGCTGGCGGGGCACAGGGGGAAGCAGCGGCAGTGCGAGCGGCGTGGATGCAGGGCAGAGGAGCACTGGCAGCGGTGGCAGTGCGTTTGACGGCGGGCAGCAGCGCACGGGCAGCAGCGAGAGCCTGAGCAAAGAGGTGATGAAACCAGGGAGCAGCGGCGGTGCGGCGGGGAGAGGGGTGGGAGGGGCGTGGGAGAGGGGTTCAGGTGCAGAGGCGGGTGACGGAGGTTATTTGGGTGAGGGGTATGCGAGGGGAGAGCAGGAGCGGGTGGTGGAAGAGTGGGCAGGCAAGGAGGGCGCGAGGCAGGACGGGTGGGCCGGTGCACGGGATGTGAGGGATGGCGGCGGGAGTGGCAGGGATGGGGCAGCAGGCAGGGAGGGAGCGGGGCGGGCCAAGGCACGCAGTGAGCCGCTGGTTGGGGAGAAGGCTGCTGCTGCTGCTGGCGTGGGAGGGGCCAGGAGGAGTGCACATGTGGACATGATCGACAGGTGCGTGCGATCGTGAAACACTCATTCAGCTCACATTCCACGTACTGTGCTCGCTCTTGGACGTGTGTGTGTGGCACAGGCGCACAGGCTCCTTCTCCTTTGCCTGCTCGCCCCTGAGTGTTGTGGTTGTGCGTTTCTGCATGCGTGCATATGTGGCATGTGTGGTGTGAGCAGGAGCCAGCGAGAGGAAGGGTCAGCAGCAGCAGCAGGCAGTGGTGGTGTGCGCGGCAAGGCACCAGGGTCCATGGTCTCTCGCTCCGCTCCCCTCCCCCACCCGCAAGAACCCGCTGCTGGTGCTGCTGCTGCTGCCTCCAGTGGTACTCCAAAGCGAGGTCTGTGCCTGTCGTTGGGGCACCCATGCCATGTTACCCAAGCTGCACATAATTCCCACTGCAAACCCCAGCTGCTCTGCTCTGCTCCGTTTCTCTGAGAATCGTGCCGTTCTCTCTCTATTCTCATCCGGCTCAGCACCTTGAAACCCCACTGCCTACCGCATGTACTGCTCTTGCCAACGCCACCTGCCTGGATGCACCCTGCAGCTGACTGACTTGTCTCCCTTGCACCCACCGCCCGTCCCTCCCGCCACCTTCTGCTGCTGTGTGTGTGCAGGGGCTGTTCCCACAGGCGACGGACAGGACAGGTGGAAGGAGAGGCCCCTGCGTGAGGAAAGAGGGCGGGAGGAAAGAGGGCGGGAGGAAAGAGGGCGGGAGGAGAGGGGCCGGGAGGAGAGGAACTTGTTGGATAGAGAGGCGGACGGCAGGAGGGCTGGTGGCGTGGAGAAGGATAGGAAGAGTGGGGGCAGGGATTGGGAGGCGAGGAAGAGTGTTGAGAAGACAAAGGAGAGGATGGGCGAGGAGCGAAGCGAGCAGGGGCGAGGGGGACAAGAGGGCAGGCGGAAGGAGGACAGCGTTGGGAAGGAGAGTGCACGGGCGGGGAAGAGCCGGGAGGAGAGGGGGCGGGAGGGGGAGAAGGGAATGGAGAAGGGAAGAGAGGAGGAGAAGGGCAGGCAGGAGAGGGAGCGTGGGCAGGCGGCGTATGGGCGGGGCGTGGGGCGAGTGGGCGTGCAGCGCAGGGGGCGATTCTCCGTCACCACCGATGATGTGGACGCTCAGGTGCACCCGCATGGGCTGGACCCACGTGTGCTGCCCTGCAGTTCCTTGTCCATCCGTGTCCCTGCTGCCGCGCTCACCTGCCCGTGCCACCGTACACCTTCTCTGTGGTCGGAGTTCTAGGGACGATGGGGTGCAGTGCAGGCATTAGACTGTGAATGCAAAGACATGCAAAGACTAACGTTGCTTGCATGTCTTGTTGTATGTGCCCTTCCACCCTACCCACTCCCTAAAGGACGGAGCGCCGCCCACGGTCATGTGCACATCCAGCATGCACCGGCCCCACCCTCAGGTACCCTCCTGCTCCTTCCCCTCCCCCCTCCCCTTCTTCCCCTCCCCGCCCACCTTTTTGTTCCCAAGACAACGACTTTTCCTCTGCACTCCGTGGTGAAAGGGGTTTCTTAGACTCCTCACGTCTGCTGGCATCTCGGCCTCCTCACGCCCATCCTTCCCTGCCTCGTCCGGTGCCGTGTCTCCCCCAGGCGACACGCCTGCTTCCCCCAGGCATGCTCTTTCCGCGTGCGCCTCTCGCCATACATCCGCCTGCTGTCTGCACGCCGCCGCCTCTCCTCCCTGCGCGGCGCATCTCCACCCATCAGGTGCTCGCCACTCTTCCCCTCATGCCCTGCCCTGCCCACCACCACCACAGCAGCAGCTCTCAACAAGTGACCCCTTGCTGAGAGCATGGCGCCACTTGTTGAGAGCTGTTGCTCTGTTGCCATGTGGTGCGCCACGGGATGGCATGTGCTCTGCTTGCCGTACCACTATCCGTGTGCAATTGTGTCTCATGGGCCATGGCTGCACCGTGCCATACATGCCACCATGCATCCGCTGCGCACCTTGTTCCGCCTCCTCTAGTAATGGTGCTGCTGCTGCTGCTGCATGCGCCATGCACCCATCTGCCGCGTGTGCTCTGTACCCATGCGACCTCCCCCTCCAGGCCACCTCCCGTCCGCCCCTACCAGCACCGGCACCACTGCTGCCATCGCCCGTTGCAGTGCCGCCAACATCGCTGCCGGTCCTGCCCGCTGCCCGTGTGGCCGATGCACTGCTAGTCGTGCCGCACCTGCGCACCCTGCTGCAGCACTCCTGCGAACAGCAGGTGGGGGGAGCAGGGTTGGGTAAGGGCGCTGGGGAGCGAGCGAAGCAACGAGGCTGGTTGGTGGCCAGTTGGCAATGATATTTGAAGAACAGGAGATATGGGACGAGAGGGACGAGACATGTGGGTGTGAGAATTGAGGAGTTGTGGTTAAGTCTTCGGGGGCCAAGAGTTGACGCATGTTTGTGAGCTGTGATGTGTGTGCGTGTACGTGTGTGTGCGTGTACGTGTGTGCGCATGTGCGTGTGTGCATGGCAGGAGGTGCTGTTCAACCTCATCAAGGAGCTCGCTGCTGCTCACCCAGGTGCTGCTCCCTTCCATGCCCTGCTGCCACCGACATCTCTTCAATCTCTCTTTTATTTACTTCATCTCCTCAGAGCATGTGACGTGCATGTTTGTATCGCTTCATTGTACTTATGAATCTTTCGCCTCCGTTGTGTGTGCTGTGCGCGTGTGTGGCAGTGGTGAGCGCAGCACAGCAGCGACCTGTGCTGCTGGCAGGCATGCAGGTGAGAGCAGAGCAACCCAACACAAGGATCCATGCCTCTGCTTCCTGTGTGTCCCTGGCTCCCCTTTTGACCCCCCATGACCCACCACGCTGACCAAGGAGCATGCATGTGTGTGCATGGCAGGTGAAGCTGCCAACGGACAAGGAGCAGGTGCTCATGCTCAAGATCGCCGAGATGCAGTGCAAGTCAGTGCTCTCTGCTCTCTGCTCTCACCCTCTCCCCCGCTCGCCCGCCCCCCCCCCCCCCCCCCCCCCCCCCCCCCGTGGATTTTCAAGTCGGGCGTGCAATGACTCTAAACCTTCTGCATGCTTGCATCCCAGTGCTACTGCGACGTTTGACAAGTGCTGCTCTTCCTGTGGCCCATCTCAGTCGCGTGCTGTCTGTGTGCGTGACTGTGTGCGCGTTTCTGCCCCTCCCCCTGCGCCATGCGTGAGAGCAGGGTGGCGAAGCTGATAGACAATGTGCTCACATACCGCAATCGCAACGCTAAGGTGAGCTGCACTCCCGGTGATAGTAATGCAGTGTTCACACGTCTCATGCTTACACGTGACTATTGTCCCCGCCACTGCTGCCCCAACCGCCATATGCCCTCTCACCCGTGCGTGCCAATCGCATCATCCTGTCTCTCTGCTCACTGAATGCGCAGCTGCTCCCATGCTAGTATCGCTGTCCACTCCACGCCCTTTACCCGATTCCATCTTGGACCATCGTGATCATGTTTAGTGACCGTGCTGTGTGTCCATGGCAACCTGTGTGCTGTGCCGTGCTGTGCTGTGTTGTGCTGTGCTGTGCTGCGTGCTGCATGTGTGCATGTGTGTGCAAGCAGCTGTTGCAGCAAGTGGAGGTGTTCAAGCAGAGGCAGAAGGAGCGCAGGCAGCACCACAGCGGCACGCATGACCTGCAGGGAGCATCGCATGTGTAGTATCTCCTTACTGTGTTGTGTTGAGCCGTCTATATGAGATTATAAGCAACTATATGTGCCATAATGCTATTGTTGAGGTGTACCAGAAGGTGCTCCTGCTAACGGTTTCGTCAAGAGCGTGCAAGGGGCTCCATTCATGTTGCACAGTTAGTGTAAAGTACCCAATAGCATACCCATTCTAGGGTGAGATGGTGCTTTCGATTACCGTACCGTATCATACCATGTTCCAAACCAACACCCCAAATCGATACCCGTTCATTCGGGCAGCGCGCTCCGATATAGCGCCTCGCACTTGGTGGAGCTCACTTTGACCGTTCGTCGCAGCTCTCACGAGTATACCGTCGGTACGCGCAGCAGCAGGCGGCGGCGAGAATGGGGAAGATGGGACCGCCGCCGGCCGGCCGCGAGAACAGCGCGGAGCTCGCGCACGCCGCGGACCACGCGGGGGAGGATGGAAGCGCGGGCGCCGGCAGGGGCAGCGGTAGGGACGCGGAAATGGCGACGGGGGGAACTTCAGAGGATTCTCTTACCAGGGGTGCGGAGCTGCGCGTGTTGGAGTTCTACAGCGGTATCGGCGGTCTGGTACGATCACGCACGCGGAGTTGCGCGCATGCTGTTGCGCGCATGCAGTAGCGCGCATGCAGTTGCGCGAGGCTGCCTGTTGAGCTCTCTTCGCGTTGCTGCCAACGTGCTGCCCGCAATAGTCCCTCGAGAACCCTCGCCACCTCAATTCCCTCCCGCCCGTCTCGCTCCCAGATCGTCCCCTCTTTTTCTTCCCTCACGCCCTCCCGCACCACCCGCCCCGCCCCTTGCCTCCCCGCGCGCGCAGCATTACGGGCTGCAGTGTCCCGGCGTGGTGCCGGCGCACGTGACGGCGCGCGTGGTGGCGGCGTTCGATATCAACGAGGTGGCCAACGACGTGTACGAGCGCAACTTCCGCCACCGCCCCAAGCAGGTGCGCGCAACTTCCGCCACCGCCCCAAGCAGGTGCGCGCAACTTCCGCTACCGCCCCAAGCAGGTGCGCGCAACTTCCGCTACCGCCCCAAGCAGGTGCGCGCAACTTCCGCCACCGCCCCAAGCAGGTGCGCGCAACTTCCGCTACCGCCCCAAGCAGGTGCGCGCACGCCGCCGCGCCGCGGGGAGAGGGTTTTGGGTTCAGGGTTGAAGGTTCAGGGTGCGGGGAGTAACGGAAGGGGGCATTTGCGGAGCGCATGTGCGCGCAGCTCGCTGCTATGCGCGCCTGCTGCATGGTTGCTTCTTCCGCCGCTACCACCATTGTATCTCCTCCCGCCCCCTTTCTCCTCTCCCCACCCCTCCCCTCTCCACCCTGTGCGCACGTGGCAGGGCAACGTGCAGACCATGTCAGCAGCAGCACTGGACGCGTGGCGAGCACACGCGTGGCTCATGTCTCCGCCCTGCCAGCCGTACACGCGGCAAGGTGAGGTGCTGCGCAACACAGGGGCGGGCAGGCAACACCCCAAGGGGCATGCGCATGCAGGAGCAGGCGTGGGAGAGTGGGTTGCGCCATTGCCATGCATGCTGGGAAGTGCTGGGAACATTGCCGTGCAAGGCCCATGCTGCCATGTCTGCACCATGTACCTGCCATGCCCTCACACACACTGCCATGCAATGGCCCTCCATAACCCCCACCCCCATGCACCATCTGCACACACCTCTCCCCCCCTCTCCTGCCCTCTTCCCCTATTTCCTCCCCTCCCCCCCTCAGGGCTGAAGCGAGACTGTGAGGACGGGAGGGCGACGTCGTTCCTGGCCATGCTGCAGCGCCTGCCTGCCATGCACCACCCGCCGCTCTTCATCCTCGTTGAAAACGTCGTCGGCTTCGAGGTCTCTGCTTTCTCTCGCTCGCTCTCACTGCCTGCCTGCCACCGCCGCTCCACGCTCCTTCTGCTCAGCGTCCCTCCCTCCTTTGCACTCATGTTCTTCCCCTCCTCTCTTCGCCACACTTTTCTGCTCCCCACTCCCGGCACCACCAACCTGCCTACCTTCTCCACCATGCCACAACCTAGACCCTGAACCTTCTTTTTCTCCCCATCCTTTGTCACATCCCACCCCTGTCCCCCACCCGCCCACCACCAGTCATCGCGCACGCGGCATGAGCTGGTGCGCGTGCTAGCGGGCACAGGCTTCACGTCGCTGCACGAGTTCCTTCTCTCGCCCACCGACCTCGCTCTGCCCTATTCGCGACCACGATACTTCTGCCTTGTCCGCCCCCCACCCTGCCCCCTCTGTCCCACCCTGGCTTGATCTGCTCATACCTGCTTTTGCTCGCTGTCTCACCATCCTGCCTCGTTACACGTTGCTTGCATGCTTCTCTGGCATCCCCCAAACCATCACCCCTGTCTGCCACCTCCTCCTGCTCCACGCACTCCCTCTTTCCTTCCTCACCTGCCATCGCCCCTGCGTGCGTGTCCCCACTCCCTGCCCCCTGCCATGCCGCCAGGCCAAGCGCACCACACCTTTGGCGGCCGCCCTCTCCCACTCGCTGCCCGGCCGCCCCTCCTCCCCACGCACTGCTGCACCCGAGCCTGATGCAAGCACAAGTCGGTCCGAGGAGATCCCAGGGGGGGATGCGAGTGGGGCAGCGGGGCAGGCAGAGGGGGAGGGGGGGGGAGTGGGGGAAGAGGGGAAGGCAGGGGGAGAGGAGGCGAGGGGCGATGGTGTGGGAGCAGCGAGAGTGCTGGGATGGCGCGACCTGCTGTGGCTGTGCCAGGACGTTGCACGAGGGGAGTGGAGAGAGCAGCGGGCAGCAGTGCAGGCTGGATGCAGTGACGACAGTGGCGGCAGCAGTGGGGATGGTGCAGGGCACGCCTCTGAGAGTGGCTTGAAGCCGCGGTGCATTGGTGATTTTCTTGACGCGCACCCTGATGCTGCTGCTGGCAGTGATGCTGACGCCACTGCTGCTGATGACAGTAGTGCTGCTGATGGCGATGGCGCGAGCATGGCGAGTGCGTCCGAGGCAGAGGCGGCATCAGCGCAGTCCAGTGCATCTCCATGGGTGCCTTACTGCGTGCCGCATGACGTGCGCCAGCGATGGGGCGAGTGCTTTGGTGAGACAACTGCCGTGGTATGCCCTCTCTCTTACCTCATCGTTTATCTCCGCGTTTGATCTGACCACCTCTGGTTCATGTGCCTGCTGGGCCGTGCGGTGTGGTGCTGTGTGGTGCGGTGCGGTGTGGCAGACATAGTGACAGCAGCATCAGTGCGGTGCAACTGTTTCACCAAGAGCTACACCAAGTACGCCAAGGGGACCGGCTCCGTGCTGCTCACTCAGGTCACCCTCTTGCCCCACCCCCATGCCGTCTCCCCCTCTCTCGATCTCTCCCTCCCACACCGCACACGACACCCTCATGTGCTCTGCTCGTCCGCCCTGTACCCTCATCCCTGCGCCTCGTGCTCACCTCGCGTTGCCTCGCCTCCCTTTGCATTGTCTGCAGGGAGCAGAGCTGGCAACGCGGGTGCCAGCAGCAGCAGCAGCGGCATCAGAGGGCGCATGTGAGGGTGACAGTGATCCCGGCTGTCAGGCCCTGAGGGAACAGCCGTGCACGGCAGAGGAGCAGCCGTGTGTGCGCTTCAATGGCATCCCCCTCACTCACCTGCCACTGCGCTACTTCACACCAAGAGAGGTGTGTGCGTGCTTCTTGTCACCCCTACCACAGAAATCATTCTGGTTGCTCCTCGTCAAGGGGCAACACAACAGCAGCACAGCACAGCAGCAGCACATGTCTCTCTGTGTGTGTGCCTGACGTCGCTGCCCGCGCGTGAACACATGTGCATGGCATGCAATGCAATGCAGGTGGCCAATCTCCACAGCTTCCCACGCACCTTCACCTTCCCGCCGCACGTCACCATGAAGCAAAGGTACTACTGCACCTCCATGTCCATCGCCTCGTCCCGTTGTCCCCACTTCTCCCGCTCGCAGCACGTGCACGTGCACGTGCTGCTCAAGTTCTGCCACCAGGTTTTGTCTCATGAGCACGTTCCTTAGTTGCCTCGCAACCATCTGGCTCACGTGCATGGGTGTGTGTGTGTGTGTGTGTGTGTGTGTGTGTGTGTGTGTGTGTGTGTGTGTGTGTGTGTGTGTGTGTGTGTGTGTGTGTGTGTGTGTGTGTGTGTGTGTGTGTGCGTGTGTTCTGTCTTCCCTAGGTATGCGCTACTGGGCAACAGTGTGAGTGTTGCTGTTGTTGCTCATCTGCTGCGCCATCTCTTCACCATGCTTTGATTTTATCACACCATGCGCCCGGAGCTTTAGGCATGGGCACTGGCACTAAGTATTGTGTGAACACTCTGGTGTTTTCTGGTGTAATTGGAATATTATTCTGTATTATTCTACCAGCAGCCATTAGCACAATGGCTGGAATACAGGAAAGAAAGGCAAGACAGCTAAATACCGCACGCATGAGCAGGCAGGCTTTAAGCACTGCTGCTCTAGGTGCCAAAAAAGCCGCTTGCAGGTCTACGAGGCCACCACGGGCTGTGATGGGCCATGTCACATGGCATGTGTGACACTGCTCCTGTACAGAGAGAAAGGAAAGAAGACACTCCCAGACCGCATGGTACATGGGAGGCCAAAAAGCAGGCGCTCCTGCTGTGCTGCTCCATGCTGCTTGCTGCCATGGTGCTGCTGACAGCACTTGTGGTAGTGGTGCCACTACATTGTGTCATCCCCATGTGTTGCTTGTCTTGAGCCTCACGCCATGCTCGCATGGTACGGCATGGACAGCACTTGCACCGCGCCCGCCTTGGCTTCAGGTGAGCTCTCACGCCCTCTGCAACCCCTCTTCCTCCTCCCACCCCCCTCCTCCCCTCTCCTCCCCATACGCCACCCATCATCCACACTCCCATCACACTCTCCTCCTTCCACCGTGCTCCACACACCCGTGCTGCAGCTGTCCACGTCAGCACCATCACGCCCACTGGCATGGCTCCCAGGCACCAGAGGAGGCAGCATCTCACAAGCAGCATCAGACACGCCAAGTGCAGCGGCATCAGCAGCACCGCTCACAACATGTGCCCCAACTTGCAGCCCGTCAATCTCTCCCAGAGCAACGCGCAGCCAGGGGTGGGCGAGCACTTGTTGCAGGGAGGGGCGACGACGCGGGTTGAGAGCGAGCATGGAGCGGATGAGCCGCACGCACAGCGGCGACACCGACGCCCACGGGTGCGCTGAGAAGTCCGGGCGGTTGCAGCAGATGGCGTGGAAGGTGGCAGGGAGGTCCGCACCCCAGAAGGGCACGTAGCCTGCGAGCATGACGTATAACAGCACGCCCAGGCTCCACACATCTGCTGCGGTGCTGTAGGGGCGGCCGCACACCACCTCTGGCGCCATGTAGAAGGATGAGCCTGCCACGCCGCATGCCATCTGCCCCGGCAGCAAGCGCACCGCCTGGCCGAAGTCCGCCAGCTTGACGCACACGGAGTCCAGTAGTGCACGGCGCGAGGGAGACGCTGCAGGGGAGGTGGCTGGTGTGGCGGAGGGAGCGGCGGCGGCGAGGTAGTGCGGGGGGAGGCGCGTGTGCAGGAGGAGGTTCTCGGGCTTGACGTCCAGATGCAGTACTCCGTGCGCGTGGCAGAACGCCACTGCTGACGCCGCTTGCCTGGTGAAGGTAAGGGAGAGGGAGGGCAGAAGAGCGAGCGGGAGCAAGGAAATTAGTGCATTGACCACGCTGTACAGACTGCAGTGGGGAGCAAGCGGCGGCAAAGTCAAATGCAACGGCAGGCCCGAGGTCCTGACGCCCGGAGAAATTGAGTGGGCAGGGAGAAAGCAAAAGAAAGAGAAGGGCGGCACCTGAAGATGTGTGCGGCGAAGTCCTGTGAGAGGCGGCCGGCCTTGGCGATGAGGTCGAAGAGGTCGCCCCCCTGGCACAGGTCCATGACCAGGTGCACGTGACGCGCGTCCTCGTGCATGCTCGCCAGGCGCACCATGTTGCGGTGCGGCGGCAGCACGCGCATGCACATCACCTCCATCGCCACGTCCTCCATGCGCCCGCTCGCCTGCTCGCACACACGCGCGCGCGCACCACGTACAGCAGCCACACACGCAAGCAACGCGGTCAGTAAACGGGAGCGGGAGTGAGTGCTGCTCAACGGCAGCGAGAGGTTACAAGAAAGAAAGAAGCGCGCACGGCGGAGAGAGAGCGGGGATGTGGGATGGCGGAAGGGCGCGTACCAGGAGCGCCGCCTTGTCCATGCTCTTGCACGCCAGCAGGCGGCCCGTCGCGCGGTGCATGCACGCGCGCACCACGCCGAACTCGCCGCGCCCCAGCTCCTCGCGCGCCACGGCGAACAGCGCGTCCAGCGCGGGCGTGTCGCACGGCAGCACGCGAAGCTCGCTGGTCGCCGTGGCGTCGCACGGCGGCTTCGCGTCGCTGGGCTTCGATTCCGTGACGGTGCTCCAGGGCCAAGTGACGTCGTCGTGAGTGGATGGGCTCAGGAGAGGCGAATAGAACGGAGAGTCGTCGACACCGGTCATACTAGCAGCAGCAATGGCGATGCGCACTTAGAATTCGGAACGAGTAGCGTTTCTTGGTCCAAGTGGAAGTCTTTAGCAAGACAGGAAGCAGAAGGCTCGCAAAATGGGGGTTGAGCGTGATTCGGGGTGACTCGAGCGAGAGATACGTGGTTGGAGGGGCAAGAGAGTCTTGCGGGTGGAGCGATGGGTGGTGGTGGGGAATGGAATCTCGATAGTTTGAAGGCCTGATACACCTCCATGCTGAGCCTGGTGATACTGTAATTGTAGTGTCCGGGAAGGGGTGCTGTATCTGTTCCGCGCTGAGGTCGGCGACGCGAGGGGGCGTCGGACGAGTTAGAGGAGAGGAGCGCAGCTGCTGAGCCGACAGGCGGAGCGAGGTTGGGAAACTTGGGACTGTGCGGAGAGGGTGCGTGGTTCCGACCACTGCCTGCTTGGCAGCGTCTAACTTATCACATCAGGCCGCCCAACGGCTCCACGCAATCTCCCGCTGCCTTGACTGCCCGGTAGCATTCACGACACGTGATATTTTGAAGAGCCGTGATTCCATCAGGACAGCACTACCGCCAGATGCGGAGGGGGGCGAGCCCTGATGGAGTCGCTGCACGCGGCAGCGCGACAGCAGGGTCTGACTGTATGGGCGGGGGGGGGCGTAGGTTGGGCATCACACGCGGAGCACCTAACACCAAACCAAGTTGCTGACATGTGCGCCAAAATGCTCATGGGGCTAGAAACCCTGATTTTCTGTACGCGGATGGCGTCAGTTGGCAACCCGGCACACACTTCGCGTATCGGTGCAGCACATAAGAACAACGCCTCGAATATTCAGCGAATACGAAACAAATCCCCATGAAAAAGAAAATCTTCATGGTGGCAGGTGGAGGAGGAAGCAGAGGAGCGCCGGGCTGGGCCCACTGCCTACTGATTGATTGTCAGGAAAAGCGAAGAGAATAACGTATCCAAGAAGTCGGTTTGGCGAGCGTTGGATATGCTGACAAGGCACGCCATGGTCATGGGAGAAGCACACTGAAGAAAGGAAACGGGAAGCAAGGTGGATGCAAAACGGAGACGCAAGGCGGTGCTTGCTGTTGTCGCAGCACGGAAGTGCGAGTGGCTGGCAGCGATACACTGCAATTCTGGTGTGACAAAAGAAAGCCATCCAATGACATTCGTTAGAATGTTGAGATGATGTAGAAAGGTAGCGAGCGATACAGTATCATAAATGAAAATAATAAAAATTAACTTCGGATAAAACGGAGATAATGTGGTCACACCTGATGATCTATTCTGACACAATTTTTATCTTGCAACAACTATTAAATATCAGGCAGTAAGATGCAACTGGTTATGTCTCTTCAAACATGCAAACATTACAAGTCGCAGTATTGAAGTGTTGGAGTGTAGGTGTCATCGCACGTCACTACAAGGTCTCTATCGTTTGACTACTGACAGCACCAAATAACGAGCCTTCATAGGTGGCGGGATGGGGCAAATTTACCCAATCCTGTTAGCTCGCTTTTGGCTCGCTTCCGTCAAGCTTCCCTCTCTGGCGCGGCCGACATATTCCCGTGCACTCTAAGTTGCGCTCGCACCCGCGCACGTGTCTCCGTCATCGTCACCGCACTCACCGCTGCCATGCTCTGTTCTCTGCCGTCCCCCGTCTCCCCCGTCTCGCCCGTCGCCGTCTCTTCAAACCCCAGCCTGCCCCCTCGCATTCTCTCCGCTTCTTCCCGCCTCACCGTTCTTCCCCCTTCCGCCTCACCCGCTCCACCGTTTCTTCCCCGTGCGCGCATTCCCTCGCGCCCCTCGCCTCCCGTGACCGCCGCCGTCCCACCATGCGGCAGAGAGCGCTCGACGCGCGCGCGGGGGGGAGTGGCGGCGAGGAGGAGGGCAACAGTGGTCACGGCGCACGTAGCGGGCGGGGGAAGTGGCGGAGACGATGAGGGGGAAGGCATGGCGGTGGCAGGCAGCGCGAACCTTTGCGTGTTCCCCCTCAGGTGCGCTCGTGTTGGGGAAGCGGCGGATTACGCTTATGGTTCGAGCGGCGTGAGAGCATACGGGTTTTCAGGTGATAGAGGGTGCGAGGGATGTGCTGCGACGCCGTACCATGCACCGTAAAACACTCCTGTTTCGCCTTTAACCTTCCCTCGCCCTCCCTCTCCTCGTGTTCGTGTGCCTGTGCGTGCGTGGTGTGTGTGTCTCTGTGTGTGTGCGTGTGTCACCAACAGCGGAGTGTGTCTGCCAACTCATTCCGGGGCACTCAATGTAAGGCATCACTCGCATTCTCCTCACATGTGCACTCTCCGCGTACCACACACGCACCCATCACGTGTTACCCTACCCTTTACGTTCCATACCTGTCATTGCACGAGAGCACCTCCTCATTGCCTCTCTCGCTCCCGCGCTCTCTCCCCCGTCCCACCCAGGTGTTCGAGCCGCGCATGCTGCAGCTGATGGACGTGATCACGTACGTGGCGGCGTCCCCCCCCTCTCCCCCCTCCTTGCTGCCGCGCTTCGCCCTGCTGCCCTCCGCCTGGACCACCGCGCTCGCCGCCGCTGCAGCCACGCAGCAGGGGGGCAGCGTTGCATGGCAGGGGGGAGGAGGGTTGGCCGGCGGGGGTGCTTTCACGTGGGAAGGGGAGCTGCGTGGGGAAGGGGAGGACGGAGGGGGGTCGACGTGGTTTGGAGGTGGGGGGCGAGGGGGCAGAGACGGGGGTGCGGAGGAGGGGATGGGGCAAGGCAGTGGGAAGTGGAGGAGTATGGAGGAGGTGATGAGAGATGCGCCTGTGGGCTGTTGCTGTGTGGTGAGTGCACTCCCATGTGCTGCTGCCCTCATGCACCGCGTGTCTCTCACAAGTGTTGAAATTGATTGGCACATGTCATCAATCGTCGTGCCGTGCTTTGCTGCCACTTCATTCAACCATGCACCAGTCTGCCACATGCTGCCCATCCCGGCTTCATATAAATCCTGCTTCCTCCGCCTGGGTGCTCTCTATCCTCCCACACCCACACCCACACCCCTCCCCTCCCCCCTCAGCTGCACTCGTCGCACACAGCGCCAGACGACTCTCGCCTGGTGACGTACGAGGCGACTCACCGCATTGTCCCGCGTGCCATGCGCCGCGCGCACCCCTTCCTCGTGCTGCTCTGCCACCCGCTGCACGACCACCCGCCACTGCCCGTCACAGCACCAGCCCCGGCAGCGCAGCTGTACGCGGGGCAGGTAGACGCGGCAGAGAGGCATGTGTGGGAGCAGCTTAAAGAGGTCGCCTGGCTCTCTGCCGTCCTAGCCCGCACCGGCACCTCCTCCTCTTCCTCGGACAGCCAGCATGAGCAGCAGCAGGGGGCAGGGGGGGCACGGGATGGCGCCCCGCCGCCGTCTGCTGCGGCGTCGCTGCTGCCCGCGGCTGTGCTTCGCTTTGGCCCCGATGCCATGTCCGGCACCTCTCGCCGCGCCAACACCACCGCCCAGGCAGGTCAGTGCGGGTGGGCGGGCACGTGTGGACGGACACGCTGCTGCCCCTCTGTGGGCGTGCGGTGCAGCATATGAGCGGGCGGTGCAGCGTATGAGCGAGCGGTGCAGCGTATGAGCGAGCGGTGCAGCGTATGAGCGGGCGGTGCAGCGTATGAGCGGGCGGTGCAGCGTATGAGCGGGCGGTGCAGCGTATGAGCGGGCGGTGCAGCGTATGAGCGGGCGGTGCAGCGTATGAGCGGGCGGTGCAGCGTATGAGCGAGCGGTGCAGCGTATGAGCGGGCGGTGCGGTGCAGCGTATGAGCGTGCGGTGCAGCGTATGAGCGGGCGGTGCAGCCTATGAGCGTGCGGTGCAGCGTATGAGCGGGCGGTGCAGCGTATGAGCGAGCGGTGCAGCGTATGAGCATGCGGTGCAGCGTATGAGCGGGCGGTGCTGCGTATGAGCGAGCGGTGCAGCGTATGAGCGAGCGGTGCAGCGTATGAGCGGGCGGTGCAGCGTATGAGCGGGCGGTGCAGCGTATGAGCGGGCGGTGCAGCGTATGAGCGGGCGGTGCAGCGTATGAGCGGGCGGTGCAGCGTATGAGCGAGCGGTGCAGCGTATGAGCGAGCGGTGCAGGGTATGAGCGGGCAGTGCAGCGTATGAGCGAGCGGTGCAGCGTATGAGCGGGCGGTGCAGCGTATGAGCGTGCGGTGCAGCGTATGAGCGTGCGGTGCAGCGTATGAGCGGGCGGTGCAGCGTATGAGCGCGCGGTGCAGCGTATGAGCGCGCGGTGCAGCGTATGAGCGGGCGGTGCTGCGTATGAGCGAGCGGTGCAGCGTGTGAGCGGGCGGTGCATCGTATGAGCGAGCGGTGCAGCGTATGAGCGTGCGGTGCAGCGTATGAGCGGGCGGTGCAGCGTATGAGCGGGCGGTGCAGCGTATGAGCGGGCGGTGCAGCGTATGAGCGCGCGGTGCAGCGTATGAGCGCGCGGTGCAGCGTATGAGCGAGCGGTGCAGCGTATGAGCGGGCGGTGCAGCATATGAGCGAGCGGTGCAGCGTATGAGCGGGCGGTGCAGCGTATGAGCGTGCGGTGCAGCGTATGAGCGGGCGGTGCAGCGTATGAGCGTGCGGTGCAGCGTATGAGCGAGCGGTGCAGCGTATGAGCGAGCGGTGCAGCGTATGAGCGGGCGGTGCAGCGTATGAGCGGGCGGTGCAGCGTATGAGCGTGCGGTGCAGCGTATGAGCGGGCGGTGCAGCGTATGAGCGAGCGGTGCAGCTTATGAGCGTGCGGTGCAGCGTATGAGCGAGCGGTGCAGCGTATGAGCGGGCGGTGCAGCGTATGAGCGGGCGGTGCAGCGTATGAGCGGGCGGTGCAGCGTATGAGCGGGCGGTGCAGCGTATGAGCGGGCGGTGCAGCGTATGAGCGAGCAGTGCAGCGTATGAGCGGGTGGTGCGGTGCAGCGTAAGAGCATGCAGTGCAGCGTATGAGCGGGCGGTGCAGCGTATGAGCGGGCGGTGCAGCGTATGAGCGGGCGGTGCAGCGTATGAGCGAGCGGTGCAGCGTATGAGCGAGCGGTGCAGCGTATGAGCGAGCGGTGCAGCGTATGAGCGAGCGGTGCAGCGTATGAGCGAGCGGTGCAGCGTATGAGCGGGCGGTGCAGCGTATGAGCGGGCGGTGCAGCGTATGAGCGGGCGGTGCAGCGCATGAGCGGGCGGTGCAGCGTATGAGCGAGCAGTGCAGCGTATGAGCGGTTGGTGCGGTGCAGCGTAAGAGCGTGCGGTGCAGCGTATGAGCGGGCGGTGCAGCATATGAGCGGGCGGTGCAGCGTATGAGCGGGCGGTGCAGCGTATGAGCGAGCGGTGCAGCGTATGAGCGAGCGGTGCAGCGTATGAGCGAGCGGTGCAGCGTATGAGCGAGCGGTGCAGCGTATGAGGGGGCGGTGCAGCGTATGAGCGGGCGGTGCAGCGTATGAGCGGGCGGTGCAGCGTATGAGCGGGCGGTGGAGCGTATGAGCGAGCGGTGCAGCGTATGAGCGAGCGGTGCAGCGTATGAGCGAGCGGTGCAGCGTATGAGCGAGCGGTGCAGCGTATGAGCGGGCGGTGCAGCGTATGAGCGGGCGGTGCAGCGTATGAGCGAGCGGTGCAGCGTATGAGCGGGCGGTGCAACGTATGAGCGTGCGGTGCAGCGTATGAGCGGGTGGTGCAGCGTATGAGGGGCGGTGCAGCGTATGAGCGGGCGGTGCAGCGTCTGAGCGGGCGGTGCAGCGTATGAGCGGGCGGTGCAGCGTATGAGCGAGCGGTGCAGCGTATGAGCGAGCGGTGCAGCGTATGAGCGAGCGGTGCAGCGTATGAGCGGGCGGTGCAGCGTATGAGCGTGCGGTGCAGCGTATGAGCGAGCGGTGCAGCGTATGAGCGGGCGGTGCAGCGTATGAGCGGGCGGTGCAGCGTATGAGCGGGCGGTGCAGCGTATGAGCGAGCGGTGCAGCGGATGAGCGGGCGGTGCAGCGTATGAGGGGCGGTGCAGCGTATAAGCGTGCGGTGCAGCGTATGAGGGGTGGTGCAGCGTATGAGGGGCGGTGCAGCGTATGAGCGGGCGGTGCAGCGTATGAGCGGGTGGTGCAGCGTAGGAGCGGGCGGTGCGGCGTATGAGCGGGCGGTGCAGCGTATGAGCGGGCGGTGCAGCGTATGAGCGGGCGGTGCAGCGTATGAGCGAGCGGTGCAGCGTATGAGCGAGCGGTGGAGCGTATGAGCGGGCGGTGCAGCGTATGAGCGGGCGGTGCAGCGTATGAGCGGGCGGTGCAGCGTATGAGCGGGCGGCGCAGCGTATGAGCGAGCGGTGCAGCGTATGAGCGTGCGGTGCAGCGTATGAGAGAGCGGTGCAGCGTATGAGCGGGCGGTGCAGCGTATGAGCGGGCGGTGCAGCGTATGAGCGGGCTGTGCAGCGTATGAGCGGGCGGTGCAGCGTATGAGCGGGCGGTGCAGCGTATGAGCGAGCGGTGCAGCGTATGAGCGGGCGGTTCAGCGTATGAGCGGGCGGTGCATCGTATGAGCGGTTGTTGCAGCGTATGAGCGGGCGGTGTAGCGTATGAGCGGGCGGTGTAGCGTATGAGCGGGCAGTGCAGCGTTTGAGCGAGCGGTGCAGCGTATGAGCGTGCGGTGCAGCGTATGAGCGAGCGGTGCAGCGTATGAGCGAGCGGTGCAGCGTATGAGCGGGCGGTTCAGCGTATGAGCGGGCGGTGCAGCGTATGAGCGGGTGTTGCAGCTTATGAGCGGGCGGTGTAGCGTATGAGCGGGCGGTGTAGCGTATGAGCGGGCGGTGCAGCGTTTGAGCGAGCGGTGCAGCGTATGAGCGTGCGGTGCAGCGTATGAGCGAGCGGTGCAGCGTATGAGGTAGTGGTGCAGCGTATAAGCGGGCGGTGCAGCGTATGAGCGAGCATTGCAGCGAAGGAGCGGGCAGTGCAGCGTATGAGCGGGCGGTGCAGCGTATCAGCGAGCGGTGCAGCGTACGAGCGGGCGGTGCAGCGTATGAGCGGGCGGTGCAGCGTATGAGCAGGCGGTGCAGCGTATGAGCGGACGGAGCATCGTATGAGCGAACGGTGCAGCGTATGAGCGAGCGGTGCAGCGTATGAGCGAGCGGTGCAGCGTATGAGCGAGCGGTGCAGCGTATGAGCGGGCGGTGCAGCGTATGAGCGAGCGGTGCAGCGTATGAGCGGGCGGTGCAGCGTATGAGCGGGCGGTGCAGCGTATGAGCGGGCGGTGCAGCGTATGAGCGAGCGGTGCGGCGTATGAGCGGGCGGTGCAGCGTATGAGCGGGCGGTGCAGCGTATGAGGGGGCGGTGCAGCGTATGAGCGGGCGGTGCAGCGTATGAGCGAGCGGTGCAGCGTATGAGCGGGCGGTTCAGCGTATGAGCGGGCGGTGCAGCGTATGAGCGGGTGTTGCAGCGTATGAGCGGGCGGTGTAGCGTATGAGCGGGCGGTGTAGCGTATGAGCGGGCGGTGCAGCGTTTGAGCGAGCGGTGCAGCGTATGAGCGTGCGGTGCAGCGTATGAGCGAGCGGTGCAGCGTATGAGCGAGCGGTGCAGCGTATGAGCGGGCGGTTCAGCGTATGAGCGGGCGGTGCAGCATATGAGCGGGTGTTGCAGCTTATGAGCGGGCGGTGTAGCGTATGAGCGGGCGGTGTAGCGTATGAGCGGGCGGTGCAGCGTTTGAGCGAGCGGTGCAGCGTATGAGCGTGCGGTGCAGCGTATGAGCGAGCGGTGCAGTGTATGAGGTAGTGGTGCAGCGTATAAGCGGGCGGTGCAGCGTATGAGCGAGCATTGCAGCGAAGGAGCGGGCAGTGCAGCGTATGAGCGGGCGGTGCAGCGTATCAGCGAGCGGTGCAGCGTACGAGCGGGCGGTGCAGCGTACGAGCGGGCGGTGCAGCGTATGAGCGGGCGGTGCTGCGTATGAGCGGGCGGTGCAGCGTATGAGCAGGCGGTGCAGCGTATGAGCGGACGGAGCATCGTATGAGCGAACGGTGCAGCGTATGAGCGTGCGGTGCAGCGTATGAGCGAGCGGTGCAGCGTATGAGCGAGCGGTGCAGCGTATGAGCGAGCGGTGCAGCGTATGAGCGGGCGGTGCAGCGTATAAGCGAGCGGTGCAGCGTATGAGCGGGCGGTGCAGCGTATGAGCGAGCGGTGCAGCGTATGAGCGAGCGGTGCGGCGTATGAGCGGGCGGTGCAGCGTATGAGGGGGCGGTGCAGCGTATGAGGGGGCGGTGCAGCGTATGAGCGGGCGGTGCAGCGTATGAGCGGGCGGTGCAGCGTATGAGCGGGCGGTGCAGCGTATGAGCGGGCGGTGCAGCGTATGAGGGGGCGGTGCAGCGTATGAGCGGGCGGTGCAGCGTATGAGCGGGCGGTGCAGCGTATGAGCGAGCGGTGCAGCGTATGAGCGGGCGGTGCAGCGTATGAGCGGGCGGTGCAGCGTATGAGCGGGCGGTGCAGCGTATGAGCGGGCGGTGCATCGTATGAGCGGACGGTGCAGCGTATGAGCGTGCGGTGCAGCGTATGGGCGAGCGGTGCAGCGTATGAGCGAGCGGTGCAGCGTATGAGCGAGCGGTGCAGCGTATGAGCGAGCGGTGCAGCGTATGAGCGGGCTGTGCAGCGTATGAGCGGGCGGTGCAGCGTATGAGCGGGCGGTGCAGCGTATGAGCGAGCGGTGCAGCGTATGAGCGGGCGGTGCAGCGTATGAGCGCGCGGTGCAGCGTATGAGCGCGCGGTGCAGCGTATGAGCGAGCGGTGCAGCGTATGAGCGAGCGGTGCAGCGTATGAGCGTGCGGTGCATCGTATGAGCGAGCGGTGCAGCGTATGAGCGAGCGGTGCAGCGTATGAGCGAGCGGTGCAGCGTATGAGCGTGCGGTGCAGCGTATGAGCGGGCGGTGCAGCGTATGAGCGAGCGCTGCAGCGTATGAGCGAGCGTTGCGGCGTATGAGCGAGCCGTGCGGCGTATGAGCGCGCCGTGCAGCGTATGAGCGCGCGGTGCAGCGTATGAGCGCGCGGTGCAGCGTATGAGCGCGCGGTGCAGCGTATGAGCGGGCGGTGCAGCGTATGAGCGGGCGGTGCAGCGTATGAGCGGGCGGTGCAGCGAATGAGCGGGCGGTGCAGCGTATGAGGGGGCGGCGCAGCGTATGAGCGAGCGGCGCAGCGTATGAGCGAGCGGCGCAGCGTATGAGCGAGCGGCGCAGCGTATGAGCGAGCGGCGAACCGTATGAGCGGGCTGTGGAGCGTATGAGCGGGCGGTGCAGCGTATGAGCGGGCGGTGCAGCGTATGAGCGGGCTGTGCAGCGTATGAGCGGGCGGCGCAGCGTATGAGCGGGCGGCGCAGCGTATGAGCGGGTGGCGCAGCGTATGAGCGGGCGGTGCAGCGTATGAGCGGGCGGTGCAGCGTATGAGCGGGCGGTGCAGCGTATGAGCGGGCGGTGCAGCGTATGAGCGGGCTGTGCAGCGTATGAGCGGGCGGTGCAGCGTATGAGCGGGCGGTGCAGCGTATGAGCGGGCGGTGCAGCGTATGAGCGTGCGGTGCAGCGTATGAGCGGGCGGTGCAGCGTATGAGCGAGCGGTGCAGCGTATGAGCGAGCGGTGCGGCGTATGAGCGGGCGGAGCGGCGTATGAGCGGGCAGTGCAGCGTATGAGCGCGCGGTGCAGCGTATGAGCGCGCGGTGCAGCGTATGAGCGCGCGGTGCAGCGTATGAGCGAGCCGTGCAGCGTATGAGCGCGCGGTGCAGCGTATGAGCGGGCGGCGCAGCGTATGAGCGGGCGGTGCAGCGTATGAGCGGGCGGTGCAGCGTATGAGCGGGCGGTGCAGCGTATGAGCGAGCGGTGCAGCGTATGAGCGTGCGGTGCAGCGTATGAGCGGGCGGTGCAGCGTATGAGCGAGCGCTGCAGCGTATGAGCGGGCGGTGCAGCGTATGAGCGGGCGGTGCAGCGTATGAGCGAGCGGTGCAGCGTATGAGCGGGCGGTGCAGCGTATGAGCGGACGGCGCAGCGTATGAGCGAGCGGCGCAGCGTATGAGCGAGCGGCGCAGCGTATGAGCGAGCGGCGCAGCGTATGAGCGGGATGTGCAGCGTATGAGCAGGCTGTGGAGCGTATGAGCAGGTGGTGCAGCGTATGAGCGGGCGGTGCAGCGTATGAGCGGGCGGTGCAGCGTATGAGCGGGCGGCGCAGCGTATGAGCGGGCGGCGCAGCGTATGAGCGGGCGGTGCAGCGTATGAGCGAGCGGTGCAGCGTATGAGCGAGCGGTGCAGCGTATGAGCGTGCGGTGCAGCGTATGAGCGGGCGGTGCAGCGTATGAGCGAGCGCTGCAGCGTATGAGCGAGCGGTGCAGCGTATGAGTGAGCCGTGCAGCGTATGAGCGCGCGGTGCAGCGTATGAGCGAGCCGTGCAGCGTATGAGCGCGCGGTGCAGCGTATGAGCGCGCGGTGCAGCGTATGAGCGCGCGGTGCAGCGTATGAGCGCGCGGTGCAGCGTATGAGCGGGCGGTGCAGCGTATGAGCGGGCGGTGCAGCGTATGAGCGAGCGGTGCAGCGTATGAGCGGGCGGTGCAGCGTATGAGCGGGCGGCGCAGCGTATGAGCGAGCGGCGCAGCGTATGAGCGAGCGGCGCAGCGTATGAGCGAGCGGCGCAGCGTATGAGCGGGATGTGCAGCGTATGAGCGGGATGTGGAGCGTATGAGCAGGTGGTGCAGCGTATGAGCGGGCGGTGCAGCGTATGAGCGGGCGGTGCAGCGTATGAGCGGGCGGCGCAGCGTATGAGCGGGCGGTGCAGCGTATGAGCGGGCGGTGCAGCGTATGAGCGGGCGGTGCAGCGTATGAGCGGGCGGTGCAGCGTATGAGCGTGCGGTGCAGCCTATGAGCGGGGCATGGACTAAAAGAATGGCGGTGCATGTTTGCGGGTGACTACTTGCCGAAACCAATGCTCTCTCATCCTTCCTATTCGCCCCCCTTCTCTCTCCTGTTCGTCTTTCCGTCCTCCGCACCCCCAATCCCCCTGCAGCCATCTCAACGTGGAGGAGCATGAAGGGCCCAATGGCCTTGAAGCGGTCGGGCGGTGAGGTGAAGACGGCGAGCAGCGGGGGCAGCGCTGCAGGGGGGGCTGCAGGGGCGGAGGGGGCGTGGAATGACCCGTACTGGGTGGCACGCGAAGCACTCAGCAAGGCGCGGCGGCAAGAGGCGTTCTCGTTCGCTGCCGCTGACATGGTGGGTGGCGTGTGGTGAGAGGCGTAGCGCTGTTGTGCTCGTTGCTGTTGCGTTGCAATGTGCATGGCACGCATTGAAGCATGTTTGAGCAACGGTTGCAGCTGCCTCCACGAGGATAGAAGGGGAAGGTCCCACTCACCCGTATGTGCTCGTGTGTGTGCGGGGCTGATGCATGCAGGTGGAGTTGGAGCAGCAGCATCGCAACCTGCTGCTGGCCATGACATGCACGCTGGAGCGATTGCTATGGGTGAGATGAGATGCCATCATGCTCCTGCGAAAACAGGACATTGAGCGAGGGGTTGCATGTGGCCGTCTGGTAGCACACATGCATGACTTGCATTGCATGCCTTTGCTCTCCTCTCTACCTGCCATTGCTCACCTGCATGCCACGTTTGTACCGCCACAACCCCTCATTCCTCATTCCGACCATACCCCTCCTTCCCTTGTCCGTTCCACCAGGTGCAGGCAGCCATCGAGCCCCACCTTGCCTCGCTGCGTGCTGAAATGGCTGTGCGGCGAGCAATGAACTCCTGACGCACTGCATGTGAATAAGGCCGTCCGTCAGTTGGGGGAATGGAGGTTCAGGAAGATGCACCTGTGGTTAGGTTCAGGAAGATTCGTACGCCACACAGAATATGCCCGCTGGCGCATTAATCATCGACTTCTCACCTTAGGCCTGGCTTTCAATTGCTACATGGATTGTCAGTTAACTCTCCATGGCCAGTAAGCAGAGCACTTGGCCCTGATAACCCTAATAATTCCTAGAGCACTTGGCTCTTGGATTCCTTGAGCACTTGTTACTTAGGGTTGTTTTGTAAGTTTGAAAGTCACTAGTACAGGTTCAGTTCATTGAAAGGGTTCATTATAAACCAGTCTAGATGTTCCAAGTCTTCGAGGACGTAGAGTTCTATTCGGATTTCGTAGCTGCTGCGGGTCTTCCCCAAAGGGGTACGAAACTGGATCTGCTGTGGCGCTGACAGCCCAGCCCCTCTGCTTGAAAGCACACATGTTCTTTTCAGAGCTCATCGTCGATCCGTGCTCGTCACAGCAGCCGTCGTCCTAGGCACTCTTTCCGGCAATTGCCGACAACGCACGAGGCGGCACCACTGCGATCGCCCGCCAGGCGCGTGGATCTGGAAGCTGGTACAGCGCCGCGCCGCCATGACGTACTTCCACTTCTTCAACTGCGCCGCGCTCTCCTTCGCGCCGCACCTCATCTTCTACAAGGCCACGCCGCTGTGAGTCCCCGCGCGCCCTGCCGCGCCAACCCGCCATGCGCGTCCGGAAGGACGTCGCCCGTCTAGTTAATGCATGGCACGCATGGCATTCTGCCGATCGCTTGCGCTCTCCAAATTATTGCCGCTGGGCTCCTCGCTCCGTATGTCGCCGCATCTGATGCATGCGCGCCGTCTCTGCCCTCCGCACGAGCCTTCCGCTCGAATTTTACGTGCCTCGCGCCTCCGCTGGTGACGCGGATCCGCTGCTCTCACTCGCCGCGCCTCTCTCCACTCCACCAGTTCTTCCGTTCCCTTTCCCGACCCAAACCCCCCCACCTGAGTTTAACCGCCTTTCCGCCTCCCCACGCGCACGCCCCTCTCAGTTCTCTCCCTCCCCTCTTGTACGCATCCGCTTCATCCATCCGCGTTGCCCATTGCGCGTGTCCCCGTGACCGCGACCGCGCAGGTCGGAATACGGCACGTGGACGGCGAGTCTCAAGGCGGCGCTCGTGTTCTTCGCCGCCATGCTGCTTAAGGTCAGCCGCCGCGCCGCCGCTGCCGCCGCTGCTGCTGCTGCCCCTGCTGCTGCTGCCGATTCTGCTGCCGCCGCCGCTGCTGGAATGGCACGTTGCTCGTTGTCCTTTGGGAGTGGTGCTGCGGATTTCGTGCCAATCCCCCTCTATCTCCTCCCGTCCCCCGTGCGCGCACACCGCCCTCTCCCCGCGTCCCCCGTGCGCGCAGATGATCCTGTGGGCGTCGCTGCTGCCCGAGTCCGATCACGACCCCGCGCTCGCCGCCCCTTCGCACCTAGACGCGCGCCAGGTGCGCTCCCCTCAAGGGCGCTGCGGCAGTGCGCGCACCCACTCCCCTCACTTCTCCCCTGCGCCCTGCACCCTGTGTGCGCACGCTGCACCACATCCGCCTCCCCTCCTGCCCGCGCTCTCTCATACCCATCATCGTGTTGCACTCTCTTGCCGTGTGCCTTCAAGCTTCGTCCCACCTTCGCCCTTTCACCCACACACCCCCATTTCCCCACCCCGGACCTCGTTCCCCATGCGCGCAGGAGGCGCTGCGCGCGGTGATAGGCGCGGGGGTGGACCTGGCGGGCATGCGGTACGCGCTGGTGCACGTGAGCCACCGCAACATGGCCTTTGAACACAAGTTCCAGGCCGTGGGCCTCGGTGCGTGCTGCTTGGGGGAGTGGGAGAAAAGGGCTGTGCGGTGGGGGTGGGGGCAGTGAGGGGGTGATGGTGGCACAGGGTGGTGGAGAGGAGGTGGGGTAGTAGGTGGAAAGAGTGACGCATGTGTGCATTAGTAGTTATTCTCTGCTGTGCACTCACACCCTCTCCCGGTCCCTCGTGTTTGTGTGCATGCATGGCTGTGTGGTGCGTGCATCAGGGTGGGCACTGGCGGAGTCAGTGAGCAAGCGCCTGGTGCCGCTGTGGGTGGGGGCGGGCGGCATGGAGTTCAAATGGGACTTCCTGCTCGACTCCCTCTCCTCCAACATCGAACTCGTACGCCCCCCTGCTCCTCTCTCCGCCCTTCTCATTCCGCCTCTCCACTGCCCTGCATGCTGCTTCATGATTGCTGCCCTCTGCACAGTCTATGCATGTGCTCACATGATGACACCCGTCTCGTACCACATGCCATGCAACACCCTCGTGTCCCGTGTAACCCTGCTAACCATCACCCACCATGCGTGCGTGCGTGCATGCATGCTGTGAGCAGGTGTCCACATTGACCCTCGCAGCGCTGGCCTCGCTGCTGTGGCTGCGCCGCTCCAAGCCGCCTGCCCTCGTGCCGCTCATCTACATCCTTGCCTCTCTGCTCGCCGCACTGCCCTTCTCCTCGAGGTTGGCCTCTGCCCCGCTCTTCCTCCTCCTTCCTCCCTGCATTCCCACCACACCCCATGCTGTCCCGTCACTCTCACCACCAATGGTACTTTTCACTTGCACTGCTTCTGCTGCTTCTTTCATGTCCTCCATCAGCCGTTTGCCACTGGAGTGCCACAGTCAGTCACTTGTTACTTGGCAAGGGAAGCAACACACGCACAGCAATGCAGCCACACACTTACCTAGCCATCCTCCTTGCCTCCCTGTGTGTGGCTTCCCTCGCAGCTTTCTGGAGCACGGATTGGGGTGGCAGCCATACGAGGTGGCAGGTGCGCACCTGGCAGCATGCATCGTGGCGGCACTCATCACATGGCGCCTCTTCTCCGCCTGCTCACGCCAACCAACGCCTGCTTGAGACCCCTCCACTCACCCTGCTGTAGTGTTGTTATGGTAGGTTGGTTGCATAAGGTGTCGAATCCCAGCCACCAGCTGCGTGCCTTGTTTGCCCTGTTGCCTTTCCACATAAGTCTGACAAACCTAGATTAGTGAGGTGTACGTTTGAAGTGAATCCTCTACTTTATTGACATTGATGAAACAAAGAATGTTATGCAAGGATTGAGCAACGATTGCCATATCTGTTACAGTGCATTTCCGTGTATAACTGGGATGTAGTCTCAACTCAAGAGATGTTGTGAAGACACTCGAGTCCAGAACTACATCTATTGAATGCCCTGCCCATATACGGTATGTGTGAAAGATTCTGTTTATCAACTCTACTGCACCATGTGCTCAGTAGCCCGTCAAGAGCAGACACATCAACATCAGCACCCCCACACCGCAAGCCTCCGCCTCTTCATCACCTTGTCTGATGCCATAGGCCCTCCTCTTCTCCCCTTGCTTCTCTTCCCTGCTCTTGCCTTACTCTCATGTCTTGCTTCCTCTTCTTCTCCTTCTCGTCTCTGTCACCCTTTGTGGATAGCTTCGCAGGCCCTCCTTTTCGGCCAAGTCTTGTTGCATCCCTGACGACGTCTTACCCACTCGAAACCCCCCCTTGTCCATCTCTTACATCTCTTCATTTACTCGATGACTATCCTCTTCTTACGGTACTGGCTAGGTTTTGCTAGGATGATAGCGAAACTCCACTCCAGTATTCACGAGAAAACAAGCAAACAAACAAGCAAGGGTTTCACTATGCCTAGCAGACTATGTACAAGATGAGATGGAAGCTAGTGCTAGAAAACCCTGCAAGGGGCGTGGTGCTGAGCCTAAACCTGCACGCACGCAAGCATAGCATCCGACATGCATTCAATCTCCACCGCTGTTCTCAGCCCACCTATGTACAGGGTTGCATCCCCACCCTCGCCTGTCCTCCATGATGAATCTGCCTCTGCCCCACCCTGCCAACCTTCCCATTCGTCTTATGAAACCCTCGTCGGCACATCTCCTCCGCACCTACTGCTGCTAAGCCCCACAAGTCCCTCTCACCACACGGCCCCCCAGACGGCGCCCGCACTACCCACACCCTCCGCTCCCATTACCAACTCTACTGCTCCCGTCCCCGGACCCCCGCGACCCACTGCCCCCCTGACAGAAGCAACCACAACCCCAACCCCACCAGCACCGGCCCCACACCAGCCCACTGACACAGCCACCCTTCTCCCCCTCCCCCCAATACCACCCCTGTCACTGCCGCCAACGCTAACATCCCCCATCCTAACACCACCACCCGCGGCTCCAAACCCAACCTCCCCTAGTCCCACCTCTCAACCCCTCCAACCATCTGACTTGAGCGCCGCCCTCAATTATGCACCAACTGCTGCAGCGTTCGTCGCAGCTGCTGCTGCGTTGCTTGCAGCTGCTTCTGCGTTGCTTGCAGCTGCTGCTGCGTTGCTTGCAGCTGCTGCTGCGTTGCTTGCAGCTGCTGCTGCGTTGCTTGCAGCTGCTTCTGCGTTGCTTGCAGCTGCTGCTGCGTTGCTTGCAACTGCAGCTGCGTTGCTTGCTGCTGCAGCTGCGTTGCTTGCTGCTGCAGCTGCGTTGCTTGCAATTGCTGCTGCGTTGCTTGCTGCTACTGCTGCTGCATCTGCAGCTGATGCACTGGAAAAGGAAGAAGTGGCCAATGCTGCTGCTGTTGCGTTTGTTGCTGCTGCTGCTGCGGTGTTTGCTGCTTCTGAAAAAGAGCAAAAATAAAGCATTAGAAACGAGAGAGTGGCAGGAGGAGTGAAACAAGGAATGCGGTGAGTTGCAGTAGTAGCAGGAAATTGGAGAGGAGTGGAAGTAAATCGGGAAAGAACTGTACCACGCAAAGAAGCAGTGCCGGGTGAAGGGCTGTCAGGAAGCGGCATAAATCCGAGAAATCCGTATCTCACCCCTCCACGCCCCGCACCTCGAGGAATGGGGCTGTATGGAGAACGGATACTTAGAGTATTTTTTATCCATGGAGTGTGAATCTCCGTAGTGTGAATCTCCCTTCTCCGCACCTCCCCTCCCCCAACCTCCCTCCCCTCCTCTTCCCCCGCACTCTCCTCCTCCTCCCCCGCCCTCCCCTCTTCGTCCTCCCCCGCCCTCTCCTCCTTTTTCCCCGCCCTCCCCTCCTCCTCCCCCGCGCTCTTCTCCTCTTCCCCCGCCCCTACTTCTCTTCTCCCGCCCTCCCTTCCTCTTTTTCCGCCCTCCCTCCCTCTTCTACCGCCCTCCTGTCCATTTCCAAAACCTGAGGGAGTGATGGAATTGTAAAACCAGAGGACAAGGGTGGGCATGATTAGAGGTTTAGTAGCTTGAACTGCGCCAGAAAGGGAAAGAAGGCGGAATGGGAAAGAGGGAGGGAAACAACGTGTAGAAGACTTTCAATAGAGCTGTCTAGACGGCCACACTCCGTCCCAACGTCTTGCCTCCCCCCACTCACCAAGCCAACTCAGCACAGCCGGGAAGAGGAGGCAGCGCGCGAAGTGGCAGGTAATCCAATCTCAAGCCGGATCCGGTATCTTTGCTCGTGACAGACGCAGGATCCGTTGATCAAGGAGCAAGTCCTGAGGCCGCGGAGCCAACAGCTGCTGCACCGGAATCCCCCACCGTCGCCGTCGCAGCTGGCGACGTCTCAGTTGTTGCCGGATGTCACAGGAAATTAGTGTGGTCGCTGAGATAAGTTCCGAAGCAAGAAATTAGCGTTTGTCGCAGCGTTTCACCGCGAGGCCGTTAACTACCCTATCAGCGTGGTGATGCTGTTGCTGCTGCTGCTTACCTGACTGCTCGCGGGAGCTACTACTAGAAACGGGAATTCACTAGTAGCGACACTACTCGCTACTGAACACGATGAGAAGCGATAGTCACAGGAGATGGACGGTGGTGTGTAAAAATGACGAGAGCGGAAATAAATTCTGAGGGGTGCTGTCTCATTCGGAGAGAGCGAGGTGGTCTCATTCGGACAGACCGAGGTGGTCTCATTCAAAAACCCCAACGGGGTTTTTTGTTACCAGCTGGCGAGTGCAACCGCATTCGGGAGAGGGTTTGTTAGGGGAATCAGCGCGTGTCTCGAGTGTACGTTCAAATACGGTTGAATACGGCTTGGTCACAATCCAGAGCCTTCTATTGAAAGGTTGGGTCGGGTCAATCTGCGAATATGTATTTCAGGGACGCGCCCTAAGGCAACAGCAGCGCGCAGCAGAACAACGCCCCCGCGCCAATATCGCACACACTTACACCCACTGGTGGGAGGGCCGCGAGTTGCTGCCAATCAACTCATAATTCTCCTTCACTTAGTCGTTGGTGTGCTCTTGCGTTGAGGGCATGCATGTGTGGAGGGCATGCATGTGTGGAGGGCATGCATGTGTGGAGGGCATGCATGTGTGGAGGGCATGCATGTGTGGAGGGCATGCATGTGTGGAGGGCATGCATGTGTGGAGGGCATGCATGTGTGGAGGGCATGCATGTGTGGAGGGCATGCATGTGTGGAGTGCCTGTCCGCAGCAGGGCAGCACACAGGAGTTGCCGCTGCACCTGAGTGCGGACACAGCAGCAGGGGTGCACCCACCTGCACTCCACTCCCGCCCACCATTCGCTGCAACACCAAACTCGCCTCCTCTCTTCCACGTCGCCTTCCCTCTTGTCACAACCCTTTTGTCACCTCATCTTGTTGCCTTGCCTCCCTTCGCCTCCCCCTCACACACACTCACTCTCACTCACACTCACATTCACACTCCCATGCTCACATCCACCCTTAGAATATATATCGATGCATTTTGTTGGATGTAGTCTCGAGAGACTGTGCAAACACTTGAAGTTGCCTGCCCAGAACTACATGTACTGAATGGCTTATTTGTGAAAAAGATTCTGTTTTCAGCTTTATTGCACCATGTGCACAGTAGCCCGTCACGAGCAGACACATCCACATCAGCACCCCCACACCCGCAGGGCCTTACTCCACCCCTTCACTGCCATGTGAGCATGCTTGTGTGGAGAGTTTTGACATGCCACTGTTGGGGCATGTCCATGCTTGGTGCATGTGATGTCGAAACTTACTGATAAAATACTCCTCATTTGGTACAAAACGTACACAGTTTTTTACATCTAGCGGTAGATATATTTTACAAAAATGTACAAAGTGCACAACGGCACCTATTCTCGTTCCGCACTCAAGCATGCTTGCCACATGGCACGCCTCCACTCCCCAACCAGACCCCTCTTCCATCCTCTTCCCTCCGTGCAATGCATTGGAAGGGCATGCCAGGTGAGTCAACCATGCTTGCCGCATGACACTCCTCCACTCCAGACTTCACTTCCCCCCTCTTCCCTCCCACACTGCCTTCCTTGCCTTCGGTCGTGCTCCATTGCCCTGCACATGCTGCCCGCCTGGATATGGCATGATATCAAACCATGCTGTGTCACCAAATGACATGCCACACCATGCTATGCCACCAAATGACATGCCACACCATGCTGTGTCACCAAATGACATGCCACACCATGCTGTGTCACCAAATGACATGCCACACCATGCTGTGTCACCAAATGACATGCCACACCATGCGATGCAATGGCACACCCCAGTATATCAAGCCACACTGAAACAAGCCACACTGAAACAAGCCACACTGAAACAAGCCACACTGAAACAAGCCATACTGAAACAAGTCACACTGAATCATACCTCTGTGCATCCAACCGCACTGCATAATGCCACACTGCATCACACCAAACTGTATGATAACACACTGTATCACACCATCTGTATCATACAACACCGTATCATACCGTATTGTATCAGACCCCACTGTACCATACCACACCGTATGATACCACTGTATCGTACTAGCGGAATCATCACCAAACTGAACCATACCAGAGTGTATCATCCCAAACTGTACCCATGAGGTTTCAGCCCCATTCCACCTCACTTTACCACTCAAGGAATTTCAGACTGCA